CGCGAATATTACGAAGGCAGCCTCGCGCGCGACATCGCGGCCGACCTGCAGGCCGGCGGCTCCGCCATCTCCTACGACGATCTCGCGAGCTACGAGGCGAAGATCCTCGATCCGCTCGCCTTCGAGCATAACGGCGTCACCGTCAACGTCGCAGGAGGCCTCACCGCCGGCCCGACCCTGCGCCGCGCCATCGAGCTGGCGGGCGCTGCGACCAAGGGCAAGGGCGCGCCCGGCGCCGACTTCTTCGCCGCGATCGCCGAGGGCATGCACAAGGCCTACGACGAGCGCCTGAAGACGCTGGGCGACAAGCCCACCGACACCTGCACCACGCATTTCTGCGCCGCCGATTCCGAAGGCAACATGGTGGCGCTGACCCAGACCCTGATGAGCCTGTTCGGCTCCTGCGTGATGCTGCCCAAGACCGGCATCACCATGAACAATGGCATGCTGTGGTTCGACCCCGAGCCCAACCGCCCCAACTCGATCGCGCCGGGCAAGAAGCCGCTTTGCAACATCTGCCCGGTCGTCGTCGTCAAGGACGGCAAGCCGTGGTTCTGCATCGGCGCCTCGGGCGGCCGACGCATCGTGCCGGCGGTGTCTCAGCTCTCGCTCATGATGATCGACCGCGGCATGGAAGTGGAAGCCGCCTTCCATCAGCCGAGGGTCGATATCTCGGGCGTCGGTCCGATCCGGGTGAACCGCGACCTGCCCGACGACGTAAAGAAGGCGATCGCGGCGAAGCTGCCGATCGTCGAGGTCGACAATCCGGTCTCGCCGCTGGGCTTCGCCAACCCGTCCTGCATCGTGCGCGATCCGAAGACCGGCGAGCTGACCGGCATGAACGAGGTTATGTCTCCATGGGCCGGCGGCGCAGCACAGTAATCGGAGCCCTCTCCCTCGCCCTCCTCGCAACGCCGGCGGCGGCACAGAAAACGAGTGTGCCGCTGCCGGTCCTTGCGCCGGTCACCGGCTACGCGTCCATCGAGGGCGCCAGCCAGAAGAACGGGACGAACCTGGCCGAGCGGACGATCCGCGACGTGCGGATCGAATCGCGCGTGCTGGATGCCGCGACGTCGCCCGAAGGCGCCGTCGCCACCTGGGAGCGCGCGGTACGGCGGCCGCTGCCGCCCTCGGTGATGGGCCCGCTGCTTGGCCCGCAGATGCTGGCGGTGATGCCGCTGGCGCAAAGTCTCGGCGTGCCGCTGATGACCCTCTCCACCAATCCGAAGCTGTCG